TTTGGGATTATGATAGGGATAAGGAAAGTGGAGAAAAGCAGAGAAGTTACAGGGGATTGGTGTTGACACTATAGAGCATATAGGTGGTGGTTGAATTTCTTCTCTTGGACTTAGGAAGTAATAATGTGATTTTGGAGATGAAGTGGATAGAAGAGATCAGAGAGACAAGGGTGGATTAAATATCCTTGACTATGGAGATTAGGGTGGAGGGGAGGAAGGTGGTGTTGAGAGGGGATGCTCGATTGTGCAGGACCATGGTCTCACTCAAAACCATGGTCAATATGATAAAAGGAGCATGATTAAACTTATTTGTGGAGTTACAAAGTCTAAAGGAAATCTGACATCCAAAGTCAGTAGAGTTCTCTGAGTGTGTCTAGTAGTTTATGCAACAATTTTTTGACATCTTCAAGCATCTTAGCCGGTTACAACCACCGAGGAAGCACGAACATGTCGTTAGATTGAAGGAATGGGTTTCTCCTATTAGTTTTAGATCTTATCAGTATCCCTAAATTTTGAAGGATGAGACGGAGAGTTTGATTATTAATATGCTTGAGTTAGATATTATCAAACCTAATCTAATCCCTTTTTGTAGATCAGCCTTATTGGTAAAGAAGGATGGGAGTGGAGGTTTTGTATGGACTATAGGGCTCTAAATAAGAAAATAATACTAGACAAGTTTTCTATTTTGGTGATTGATGAGTTGTTAGATGAGCTTTTTGGAGCAGTTTTCTACTCTAAGTCTAACTTAAAGTCAGGGTGCCAACAAGTTCGGATGAGGCTGAAAGATGTGCACAAGACCACATTTCAAACTCATGAAGGTCACTACAAATTTTTGATTAAATGAAAAGGATTTCCAAATGATGATAGCATGTGTAAATCATATTATAGGATCCAATATTGCACTTTATTCATGACTGTGAGTGAATCAACTAATTTAATTCAAATGTTAAGGGATGTTGGCATCACTTCATGATATATAGACTTTCTTTTCAATACAATCTGATGAGGGCAAGGAGGTGAGTAGTTTGCTATTTTTTGGAGGATCAAGATCAATATGAAGTGATCTAGGTGGAATAAATCTCTTTTAATGATAGTTATATAAAATTTTGGTAGTTTAAAATAATTGAAAAAGTATGAGAGGAGTAGGATTTATTCCAACTTCTATTTAAAATATGAAGATCTCTTTTAAAACACATAAAACCTTCTCTACAAAACTCAAAATCAAACAAAAAAGTACTTTAATTATTTGGTAGGTTCTTAAAAACTGATTGGGAAATTATGGTGAGTTTTGGAACTGTTTTGAAATGAATAAATAGAGGTATACTGGAGTTAGGTCAGTCCTGTCTAGAAGTGACCAAGTTAGAAAAATTGGCTAGATATTTTTGTGGAGGTATGTAAATTTAGTCATTTAACTTAGAGAGGAAATTATAAACATTCTAGAATAAATTAGAAGAATTTGTTTTTGTTTGTACCATTGAAAAAATGGATTTGGAGAAAAAAACTAGAAAAATAGAAACAAAAAAATAAGATAGAAAACAAGGATTCTCTTTGAATGATCTTTTCTCCAATACTTTTAACATAAAATTATAAATAAAATTTTTATATTATTGAAATAAAGAAAGATCAAAATAGAATGATAAAAATTTCAAAAATTTTCGAGATCATTTTGTTGGTTAAATTGAGCAAATGGGTGAACTAATACAAGATTTCTAATGAAAAATAGAATTAGTGAATCTTAATTAATACAACAATAAAATAGACTAAACACAAGCTTTTGGGGTTTTTTTTGGGAACATAAAATTAAACAACACCACAACAAAAAAAATTATAAAATTTGCATAAAAGAAGTGCTAAAAACTTAAATTTCCAATTCATTAAAGTAGATTTCTAAGGAGATCACCAAATTCCTTGGGTGGCTAGCCACCATGCCTCAAACTAATAGCGAAATATTCTTCTAGGTCTTACACACAATCAATATTAATTTATTTCAGAGAAAATAAAAATTAAAATACAATCATGAAAACTCTATACAAACCAATCAACTACCCACGGAGAGGGAGAGAGGGAATGGTTCGTCTCCTTATGTAACCACCCCAAAATATCTTCTCCAAAATTTACAAAGCTATGCTCTAAACATTGAATTCACATCAGCATACATTGACTCCACATAAGTAAAGGTTGAAGCTACATAAGCAACTATTTTACTTCTACTTTACTACACTTTACATAAAAACATACAGTTAGCATACACATTAAGGGAAATTAATCAATACCTAAAATGATAGAAATAAACATAACTAAAGGTCCTTAAGGCCTTCAAATCCTTCAAAGTTTGCTTCATTTGCCCCTACATTTGGTTCTAGTAGTTGGGCCATCTATTCATACTTTAGATCTAGTGATGCGGCCAGCTCCATGTGCCACATCAGTTCTCCTAGACCCAAAAGAAGTGCTCAGAGAGTTGAAATCAACATACTCATCTGCTAAGTCTGTGTGAGCTTCTACAAGTCCTCTCTAGTCATCCAAGTGTCATATGTAGGTGGTTTATTCTTCCACCTCACTAACAATTTCTGATCACCTTTATTGTCTTCCTAAAATGTGATGATTTGGACTGCTTCATAGAATGAGTGCTGAGTCAGCCCCTGCAAAAAGTGATCTCTTTGTCCTACAAAAGAAGTAACCTCCACAATCAATGATTATATAACTCTTTTAGGAAGAATTAAGTCTTTCACTTTAAATACCGGGTGAATAAACATGTCAATAGACAAATTTACAGCATAAGCATCAACATTAATTTCCTAAAAATCTCAAATGACCCAAATGCTTTAGATTGTAATTTTCTAAATAAAGTGGATAGATACTTCTCAGGATGGATTCTTATCATTACAAAATCATCCACATTAAATTCCTTAAAATTTTTATTTGTGTTTCTAAACTCAGCATATTTTGTATTTATAATTTCTAATTATGTATTAACATCTTTATGAAGGCTTTGAAAATATGTTGTAAATATAAATGCAGTATCAAAAAATGCATGAGTGGGAATATTTACAAGATGAACTATTTTTTAGGATTGTAACCATAAATAATTTCAAATGGGGCACTATTTGTGCTCCTATAAACTGAGTTATTATGGGCAATTTTATAGTAGGTAAATGAAAGTCCCAATTTCCTTGGCTTCTATCAACTAAACTTCTAACAAGATTTCACAATGCTCTATTGATTACCTCAATTTGTTCCTACAAAAGAATTTAAGTCTTGTGTCCATAAATTTTCATAAAGTATTCCAGAACTATGAAATAAATTTAACGTCCTGGTCAAAAAATATAATGGAAGAAAGTTTTTTAATTCTAGAAATGTCCTTACATTCAAGTTTTGTTATGTGTGAGGCATCATTAGGCTTAAAACAAGGTAAGAAGTGTGTCATCTTGGAAAACATATCAACAATCATAAATATAATATCATGTCCTCTAGGTGTCCTAAGAAGTCGTAATACAAAGTCCATGGAAAGAACATCCCAAGGTCTAAAGGGTACAAGTAATACATAGTATCATTCATATGGCTACCTTATGACTTTTGCTTTTCTACAGGCATACCATTGAGTAACAATTATCTTCACACCTGACTTGGAGAAGGCTAAAAGAATCCTAATTCAAGTTGGTGAATAATATTTATTTTTTCAAAATGCCACATGACCTGACCCGCAGTTACGCGATAATTTAACTTTCAAAAGATGTCCAAAAAACTTGACCCAACTTATATTTAGCAGCTACTATGCGAAATCAATATGATATAAAATTTAGAAAATAATTTACACACTAGAGGTACAACGTAAGTATATGTGTCATTTTAACTAATATAGAGGTTTTTTAAAAATCCTAGTATCAAACCCATGGGGAAAATAAGGATTTCACTATGCTAACTTAGAAATATTTCTACTTAAACTGTAAACTAAATTTGTAGGAGAATAAAATCAAACTTTTGTAAAATCTAAAGTGGCTATTTTACTAAAATTAAATGAAAAGTCTCTAAATTAAAATTGTTAAAAGAAGTACGATTTTTAAATAAGTTTTTCCTTTAAGAAAATTCAAGTGAAGCCAATTTTTAATTAGGCATCTCCTCAAGCTTCTCCCCACATATTTTTTTTATTTTCTTGCTCTTCTTTTTCTTTTTCTTTTTAGGATCATTTTCAATCAATTCTTTTCCTTTCATTTTCATGTGAGGATTACTATATCTGGATAGCCTTTTAATGATTTTGAACTTCACTATCCTCTTCTTAATGTTAAAACTTCTCACATTTCTTTACTTAAAAATTCGTATTAGTATAGTAATAATTTTTCATATAGTCCTAAATTCTTTTGAAAAGTGTAGCTCTAAAATCCTTAATGTTTCAAAAATACAATTCTTCTTACTCTTAATAGTAAAAGCATATTCTTATACCTTTATACTAAATATCTTAACTTTAGATTTACCCTTATCACTAAAAACATTTACTTAAGTTTACTATAACATTTATAAAATTAAAAATATAATCATCTAAGGTTATAATAAAATAATTTTAAAAATATAAAGTTTATTGAGGACAAATAAAGTTTAGTTTTAGAAAGATTTTCTCCCTCACCCAAACTTGAAATTTTAAAAAATGTAACACATTATACTATATAACAAGTATGAAAAGAGAAAATTTTATCAGTTTTAACAGGGTACTAAAAATGTAAACAGTACAGGTACAAGTAGTAAAAGGTGTTAAGTAGTAGTATATCTAAAAATCAACAAGTATAACATAGAAAGTGCAATGTATAAGACTACTCTAACATACATGCCATATAAACTAAAGTAGAACAATAGTAACATTAAAGCATCAAAATAGAAAGTAACTACACCATTCCTATATAAAGACATACAAGAAGTTTCTAAATAAAGAAAGTCTACAAGAAAGATTTATAATAGAAAAGTAAACTCTATCTAGTCATCACCTCGGCCTACCAGCAGCAGGCATCAAAGCCAACAAATATTGCTCGATTATCCAAATCACTTGCATTTGTTGGAATCCACCCAGACTCCATCCTTGGTTCCTTTATCGTCCGATCAAGCTTTGTGATTCTGATATCGCAAGTTTTCGACATGACATTTGGCTCATCCTCATCCTCATCCACATTCACATCTTCATCTTCATCTTCCAGTGACAGCCCAAGCCTTAACATTTCAGCTTCCCAATCCATATAAGCATTTACACTTCTACAGATCCGCAGAAAACCACCAGACAAAAATACAAGATGACTTCACCTGTTAATCCGAAAGATCTCGCCTTTAATATGTGCCACGACTGTCGGCTTCATCGGGAGAGGTTCAGGAGATTTCCATAATCCGCTCGGCCAATCACATATATGCAGATCGAAGAACATCAAACAGCCGGATGAGTTCATGGCATATACTCTGATCTTCCTTACGGTACATCACATCCTCGATTCTACTGGAGAGCTCGCTGGAGACCGGAACAGGGGTCCATGCCACATCTCCGACTCTGGCAAAAGCTAGTTGGGTCTGAAGTGATTCGATCCCATAAAACACCGTTGCTACGCCGAAAGGTGGAGAGGAGGTCAGAACAATCTTTAAGAAATATGCGTCGCGAAAGCATTCTCTGGCGTGATAGCTTTCTGCACCGGTGGCCGCGTGCTTGGTGAAGAATCCTACCAGGAAGCCATCAGGGTTATCATGGAGGAATGTGACTTCGGCGGGATTGGAGAAGAGGGAGAAGAGGGAAGGGAGAGGGAGCTCTTCACGGGTGAGGGGGTTCAGGACTCGGGGATTGAGGTCGAGGTCGAGGGTCACCAGCCATCCATCCGGCGAAGCGCCGACGCAACGGCGGCCAACCATTTCTGGAACAGGGGAGATTAGTTGAAGCTGGCTGTCGGAGAGTTTGAGGAAAGAGATGAAGTCTGCTTGCTCGCTGTTTTGGTTGGGGAGGAGCATCCATGGAACGGAGGGTGGGATGGGAACGAAGGATGCGCGGTAGCGAGGTGGATTTGGCCAGCCTTTGTGTGGCAGTCCGAGGGACCAGGCCCAGGTTTTGCAGACAGCAGTAAGGCGGATGATGTCGTCCACGAAGAGTTTTTCGGTGATGATGATGAGGAGATAAGGAGGGAGGAGTGGCCAGTTGGCTGGTTTGCTGATGGAGATGTTACAGTGCGGGGGAGAGGGATGACGGATCGACGGTGGAGGTGGCGGAGCTGTCGGGCTTTGGTCTGGACCTGTGGATGGGGATTGTATAGGAGAAAAATTAGTAATAGATTAAAAAAAGCTTTTTTTTATTATGGCATGTAATGCAGAAGTAGCAGGCCGTTAAATTTAAAACAAAGTTTTTTTTTGGTCTCTTCTCTTTCTGCTTCCAAGAGTGTATTTGTACGATTATAGAAAAGAGAGAATGTGACAAAATCTTCTTTAATACAATTTAATAGTGATGCTTTATTACTAAATTTGTATTATAATTTGAATTCAAATATGGTGGTAGTCGCTAGTTGACACGCTTGAGCTCGATTTGAAGGCCGAGGTGGCTGAGGTGCAATCTAGTCTGGCGAAGCAAAAAGCCTGTCAATATGTAAATTGCGGTTGGGCGCCCCTCGTGTGAAGTTTAAGATGGTTCGGGATTATAAGTGTGATATGTCGACTGAGTCCCTCGTCAAAGTTTGTTGGTCAACTCTGACAGAGCTATCGATCGTTTCGATGATCGATTATGAGCGTATTCATTTAGCCTGATGCCTCGATTGACTGATCATTATCCTAAGTCACTTGATTGCTTTAAGATTTATGCTGACAGATTTGGTATATACATGCTGGATTTAAAATTTATGTTAAATCTATGACTAAATTTGTTTAGAATGTGCTGTCAAGCACCTCTAAAAAAACTTTTTCAAGTGATAAATAGATTAAATAGATCTTTTTTTTATTATTTTAGTAATTTTCGCAGAAGTAGAAGTGCATAAAATTTTAAGGAAATTTATTTTATAAATTATAATATAATTTTAAAAATATTTTATATAGCATATTTTTATTTATTTTTTCTTATTTTTAAAATCAATGCTTCATTCAATTTAAGGATATATTAAGATTTTAAAAAAAACTTTATGTAATTTTATAGAATAGGTTTATTGCATAACTAATCCAAGTTAATTAAATATAAATCTAACCTTAAAAAAAGCTAAATCAATTGAGAAACATTAGCATAGTTAATCCAAATCAAACAATCATTAGAAAATTTTTGCAGTATTGAATTAAGACAAAATATATTCATAGCAAGATATAATCAAAAACAAAAATAGGACCTAAAATTTTGTACCAATTTTTAGCACTTTAATCTGACACATTGGTGTGCAAATGAAGAAAATATAACGTCTCCCTCCGGTCTCCATCAATACAAAACCATTTGTAACGTAGTGGGACCCGATTTCATGAATTTAAATCAATACAAAACCATTTGTAATGTAGTGGGACCCGATTTCATGATTTAAAAAAAATGGAAGAACTTGTTTTTTGTGTGACTCGGCCCGAAGTCCGCCTATTACATCAAAAAAAATGAATTATATTATGATGATATTTTTTAGGTCAAAAAAAATGAATTATATTATGATGATATTTTTGAGGTATTTTGGTTGTATTCTGATAGCAAATTAGTGGTATTCTAGTGATATTCTGGTAATATTATGGTGGTATACTTTGTGGTATTCTGGTTGTATTATGGTAGTATTTTGGTTGTCTTTTAGTGGTATTATTGAGATATTTTGGTGGTATTTTATAGGTATTCTGGTAGTATTATTGTGGTATTATGATGATATTCTTATGGCATTATGATATTATAATACTGGTATTCTGATAGTATTATAGTTGTATACTTGTGGTATTTTGCTCGTATATTTGTGATAGTGTGGTTGTCTACCGGTGATATTATGGTAATAATGTGGTGGTATAGTTACGACATTCTGCTGGAATACTTGTGGTATTATGGTTGTACTATGGTGGTATACTAGTGGTATTTTGTTGATATTCTGCTGGTATCTTGATATACTAGTCATCAGAATACCACAAGAATATCACCATAATATCACAGAATACCAAAATAATAACACTATAATACAACAAGAATATCACTAATATACAACACACTAATATACAGCAAGAATAACACATGTATAGGAGCAGAATACCACAAGTATACAACTAGAATATTATCAAAATATCACTAGTATACTAATAAAATACCACAAATATACCAACAAAATACCAAAAACATATTACATAATACCAATGGAATATTGATAGTATAATACTATAATATAACAAGAATACCACAAGAATACCACGAGAATATCACCAGAATACCACAAGAATATCACCAAAATACCATCAAAATATCATCATAACACAATCAGAAGACCACAGGCATAATACCATAATACCACCAGAATACCACAAGAATATCATCAGAATATTACCAGAATATCACAAGAATACCACTATAATACCACCAAAATACAACCAGGATACCGCCAGAATATCACCAAAATAACACAAGAATATCATTAAAATTCCACTAAAATACTACCAAAATATCATCATAATACAACTAGAATATCACAAGTATACCACTGTAATACCACCAAAATATCAGTAGAATGTCAATAGTATACTACTAAAATACCACCAGAATATCACCAAAATAACACCAAAATATCACCATAAAATAACTCATTTTTGTATGAAACAGATAATCTTCTTGTTGGGTGACACAAATAGATAGTTTTTTTTCACATTCTTTTTGAATTCATGAAATCAAATCCCACAACTTCACAAATTACGCCATATTATTGAAGTTCGAGCACAAAACTGTGTCTGGACTCTAGATGCAATTATTTTCTCATGCGGATGCAGCCTTTTCCTACATTTATTTTCATAACAACAAAACAAAAAAATAAAAATAAAAATACACCGCAACCATAGTAAAGGTTGATATAAAAAATAAAAATAAAAATACACCGCAACCATAGTAAAGGTTGATATAAAAAGGAAAATACCTTGGATTGAAGTAATTTGTTCGAGACTTCTCATAAGGTGACGAATGGTTGTACTTGCGGTTGCATATATTCCATTGTAGAAGCGGGAAAGCGTGTTGGGCTTACTGTAAGAAGCGTTAGAGCATTCTTGTGGAGCACCTTGGCCAACCATTTATTAAATTGAAAAATTTAACAAAACTAATCCAAATCAAATGATTATTTGAAAAGCTTTACACTATTGAATTGGGATAGTATGAACATTGTCATTAAAAAATTTAGCAAAACTAATCCAAATCAACACTATTGAATTGGGATAGTATGAACATTGTCATTGTTGGGTCCCAAGTCTAGCATGCGAAAAATAAAATGCTGCATTAGGTGGTCAACAACAAGTGTAAAATATTTATCAAATAATCAAAACATAAATTATTGAAATCATTGTGTAAATGTTAGGGTGTCCCTTGTAAGTGACATGTTGTATGACCTGAATACAATGAATATTGTACAAGAGCCGCTACACTGATGCCCTCATGTAGTGTTAAATAAACAAAAGTTCTCACTATATAAATGGATGCGGGCAAAAAAAAATTATCCATGAAACTAATATTATAATAAGATATTGGAATATAAAGACTTTAACAGTTAAACTAATGAAATTAGTAGGCATTATGGTTTATAGAAAGATAAATATTTTATGCATTCAAATAACAAAATGAGTTGGAGATAAGATTAAGAAGATTGATAGCTCAGGTTTTTGACTTTGGTATTTAGGTAGGAGTCACACTAAAAATTATGTAGCCATAATTATAAATAAAAGTTTAAAGGGCAATATTGTAAAAGTTAATAGAATTATAAATAGAATTATAGCCTTAAAGATTGTTGTTGATATTAAGATTTTTAATGTTATAAGTGTTCATGCGCTTCAAGCAGATTTAAATATAAGTTCAAAAGAAAAATTTTGGAATGACCTTAAAAAATTAATACTAATGATACCTCTTGAAGAAAGAATTTTTATTAAAGGAGTTTAAGCGGTCATTTTAAGCGGTCATGTTAGTAGTTTAAGCGGTCATATTAGTAGAATAGTAGAATATCTAAGAATTGTTCATAGTGACTATGATTTTAGAGCGATAACTGAAGACGAGAAAAACATATTAAATTTTGTATTGGCTTATGATTTTGTTATTACTAATATTTTGTTTAAGAAAAAAGACATGCATATTATCAATTCTAATAATGGATGTAATAAAATATAAATTGATTATTTTCTTATGAGAAAAAAATAAAAAGACTTGTGCATGTTCTAAAACTACATGAAAATATGACATTCAATAGGATACAATGGAGAAAAAAAATTATTTATCCGACTACTTAGTGGGATAAAATAAGTTTATTATTATAATTGCTATTAAATTGAGACAATATAGCAAATAAAAAAAAGTGACAATATAATGCAACCCTGATATAGTTTCATATAGAAAAGAAAATACCTTGGCTTGAAGTTTTTAGTCGGAGAATCCTCAGAAGGTGACGGATGGCTGTACTTGCAGGTGCCATGATCTCATTGTAGAAGCTTGAAAGGGTGATGGGATTGCCACATAAAGCATTGGAGCCTTCTTCTGGGGCACCATGGCCAGCCATAACTTCGAGAAATGAAGGTCTGGGGCAGTTAGTTAACCTCTCGTGAGAGGACAGAAGAAGAAAACTAGGTGCTAAGAGCGAGAAGGGGCTTTTATGCTATAGTTTACTTTGTTTTTTCTGTGAGAGGGAGGGAAACATTGAGAGGGAACCAAAAATAGAGGATGGGCGATTAGGGGGGAGGAGGGGAGAGAGAGAGAGGGAGGTGAAAAAAATCCCATCTTTTCTTTCGTCCTTACGTTTGTTGTTGGGATTGAGGGGGAAAAGAGCTCCCTTTTTATAGAAACCCCAATAGATGTGAGGCCAAAAAA